TGGGATTGTGCTCGGGCAGCCGGCCCAAGCTGCTGCCTCGGCTGCTGTGGGCACCCCGTTCTGCTATTTGAAGTGCCTTAGCTGAAGCAGAGCTAGCATGCATGCGTCGCCCTGAGCCGGGAGTGACCTCTCTCAGCTGCCCTGTAGACGTGCCCTTGGGGTTACAAAATGTGCCAGCAAAATGTTTGTGTGAATGTGTCAGCAGAGAGATGCTTCTGGCTAGAATAGTGGGAAGAAACTTCCCCTGGAGGCAGGCTCTGGCCAATCTGTCGAAAATGGGGGTTTCGCACCCTCCTCTGACCCAACTGGTCCTGGCCACGGGGTGCCAGACTAGCGGGGGCAACCATGTGAGCGCACACACCTTGAGCAGACACAAAGCAGGCCTCTGCATTTGACCGTTCAGCCCTTTCTGCTCAGGGTATGCAGCTGGAGGGAGCTGCAGTCCCTGGCGCATCCCGCATGACAAGATACAACGTGTTACTGGTTAGAAAACGGAGAGGCTCAAACCACTAACTTCTTCCCATGTCACTAGCTGCCACGGCTCCCCTCCTCACTGGCTTACACGGCAGAGTGCAGGAGAAATAAATAAACGCATCACACACTGTGGAGCAGAACAAGCCCAAGTCCCCGGCTTTCCCCAACATGCTTGGGTTGGCTTCAGGGCAGAACGCAAGGAGATGATGTTGCCTAAGTTTGTTATTTGAATGCCCTGCAACAACTAGACCTGAGGGAATTCTGCACCTGCTGCATTTGGAGCCAGAGTAAAATTGCACAGTTCCCCCAGGACTAAAACCCACAAATTCCAACTTAAAAAAAATAGTAAATAATGCTCCTTCTCCTCACAGATCCATGGGCCAGACCCTTCTCCGGGGTAAGTCACTGCAGTCCTATTGATGTCTGTGGAGCTGCACTGGATCCCACCAGCTGAGAATTTGGACCCACGCTGAGACATCATGAGGCAAATGACTTCGGCATTAGTCAAACCCAAGGAGGTTCCGAGCCCCCAGAGCGACTGTCCTAGACACATGGGGTCTCTCAGACCGTTTGCTGCCATGTGTGTACAGGCAACGATTAAGACTGATGCCTGAGTCTTGGGGCCAGGCCTCCTTCCCTGACTGCTCCGACTGTAGCCTCCCTTTCATGAAGGTTTATGGACGAGGTTTTCATTTTTTTCAACAACAGCCAAACCCTTCCTTGGCCACCGAGGCCCCCGGTTTACAGACAGGAGGCAGAGAAGCCAAGAACTTTCTACGGTATTTACATCCTTAAACAGGCTTCCCAGTCACTGGAACTAATGGTATGAAACAACCAACCCTCGGACCAACACCCAGAGCCTCGCACGCCAAGCACTGCCAGGGACACCCTCCACAAAGACCAGACCCTGCTCGGCCCTACAGCCTCTTGCCCAGCAGGAGGCCCAGGCCTTGCCTTTGGGTGCCGCCGTTGGCAGGGTGGGGTGTAAATGGGGTTCTCTGGGCTGAGGTGTCCTGCCGAGCTCCCTCAGGATCCTTTTTCAATGTGACCACATTTGACCTTCAGGCTCTTCATCCCATTAGCCTGAAGCCATGTGCACAGGGCAGACAGAGCGAGGCAGGCCCGGCACGGACGGCAGGAGGCCCAGGCCTTGCCTTTGGGTGCCGCCGTTGGCAGGGTGGGGTGTAAATGGGGTTCTCTGGGCTGAGGTGTCCTGCCGAGCTCCCTCAGGATCCTTTTTCAATGTGACCACATTTGACCTTCAGGCTCTTCATCCCATTAGCCTGAAGCCATGTGCACAGGGCAGACAGAGCGAGGCAGGCCCGGCACGGACGGCCCTCTTCACCTTCCAATGTAAACAAGCCTCCATACTGCCAACCAATTCCACCTCCGCCCCGGCTGCACGGGAGCGTCGCACTCACCCATTCAGGGCCAAGCTCGGCTCTGGCTGACGGCAACGGCCAAGCTCCCGTTTTGTTGCTATGGCAGCAGGGTGATGAAGAAAGAGGCCACGGCACGGGGCCCGTAGATGAGGGAAAAGGCTGGTTTTGCACATGTCCCCGGCTCAGCCCGTTCCCAGCTTCAGAAGCCTACCCATGGTGGGGCCTTAACCAACACTGTGTGCACAGCAGCCCAGCCTGCGAAGAGTCCTCTCCGCACAGGTCTGAGAGGAACGTAAAACAACAGACAGAGCCAGCTGGAAGGGCTGAAATCACAACTGTCCGAGGACCAACCGCATAAAAAGGTGGGAGAACGAACACTATCCCTTTGGGCAGAGAATACGCACTGACCCCAGACTCTCGCAAACGCCGCCGACCAAATCGCTAAAACACAGGAGGAGAAAGAGTCAACGCCGACAGGTCCTTACACCCGCCCAAGCCGTGCTACGGGAAGAGGCTCTGGTGAGAGTGCTACAGCACAAAGAGCTAACGCCCTGGTTACTGACCCAGGAAATGTCTAGCCACTTTCAGCCAAAGCATCCTGCCATCCATTCCAGAACATGCCTCAGAACAGACAGTCAGCCCAGCCTCAACTGAAGCCCTCTCCCCCAACCCCAGACATGAATCATCTTCTAGGGGGTTGTCCATACAGGGGGATGCCTTGTGCCAGGCAGAGTCTGGGAATCTGAAACCACAGGGAGAAAAGATAAAACACAGATATAAGCCAGATGCTCAGCTGGTGCCAACTAGGGCACTCAGCCAAGGTTAATGGGGTGAGGTTGATTTACACCAGCTGATAAGCTGGCCCATGATCGGTCTCTCAAAGACAGTTCTAGACCAGCCCATTACACGATCACTGAGCATCGACTCATGGTAATCAGTCTCGGGAATATAATGCAAACATGGAGAGGAAATTCTGCAGAGGACTGCTGCACTCGCCAGATCACAGAATCCCAGGGCTGGCAAAAACCTCAGGAGTCATCGAGTCCAGCCCCCTGCCCAGAGCAGGACCAACCCCAACTCAATCGTCCCAGCCAGGGCTTGGTCAAGCCGGGACTGAAACACCTCTAGGGATGGAGACCCCCTCCCCCCCAGGGAACCCATCCCAGGGCTTCCCCACCCACCTAGAGAAATAGTTTTCCCTAATATCTAACCTAGACCTCCCCCACTTAACTTGTGACCATGGCTCCTTGTTCTGCCATCTGCCACCGCTGAGATCAGCCTCTCTCCAGCCTCCATCTGAGGCTACTCTCAAATCCCCACTCACTCTTCTCTTCTGCAGACTAAATAAGCTCAAATCCCTCAGCCTCTCCTCATAGGTCAAGTGCTCCAGACCCTTAATCATTTTCATTGCCCTCCGCTGGACTCTCTCCAATTTATCTGCATCCTTCCTGTAGAGGTGGTGAACTGGACGCAATACTGCCGATGTGGCATCGCTAGTGCCAAACAGAGGAGAAGTATCCCTTCTGTAAGTCTGCTGGCAATGCTCCTCCTAGTGCGCCCCAATGTGCCATTTGCCTTCTTGGCTACAAGGGCACCCCGTTTACTCAGATCCACCTTCTCATCCACTGGAATCCCCAGGTCCTTTTCTGAAAACCTGCTGTCTAGCCAGCTGGTCCCCAGCCTGTAACACTGCTTGGGATTCTTCCTACGCACAGGACTCTGCCCTTGTCCTTGTTGAACATCAGTAGATTTCTTTTGGTTCAATCCTCCAATTTATCTTCTTTTACTTGCCAGTGAGAATACTGTGGGAGACCGTATCAAGAGCTGTATGCTCTTCCTTCCCTTTTTTAAAGCAGGGCACTTACATTTGCCCTTTTCCAGTCATCAGAGGGCAACCCTGAGTGCCAAGATTTTTCAAAGACACTGGCCAGTGGTTCTGCGATCACATCAGCCAGGTCCCTCAGCACCCTTGGGTGCATTAGATCCAGCCCCATGGATTTGTGCATGTCCAGCTTTGCTAAAGCATCCTTAACCTGTTCCTTAACCACTGAGGGCTGCCCACTTCCTCCCCACACTGCGCTGCCAGTGCAGCAGTCCCGGAGCTGACCTTGTCTGTGAAGATGGAGGCAAAAAACAACAACAATCACCCCTACTCCAGCTTTTTCCACATCATCTCTCACTAGGTTGTCTTCCTCATTTAGTAAGAGTCCCACACTACCCCTGAACTACTTGTTGCTGAATTACCCGTAGAAACCCTTTCTGTTACGTGGGCTGAATTTTGTGCAACATTTTGAATTCCAATTGGCTTTTCATGTCTTCCTCGAGGCTGGGAACTGCAGTAAAACCAAAGGCCATTGTCTGCGATCATCAGGAGCCCAGGATAAGAGAGTATAAACCAGTTCCCAACCTGTTGGTCACTCTCTTAAAAGTTCTTTTTTGGGGCTTTCATGTTTGAAGTTATATGTTTCATATTAAATTTTCCAAAGGGCGGAGGTCTGTATACATATGAACACCAAAATTACACAGCCTTATTTATGCATGCAACTTCTATGGAGGCATGCATAAATTCAGCAATGTGCCGATCCAGTTTGCACCTGCAGTTGCAAGCCCAGAGAGAGGTCAGAGCTGCCTTTCCTTTTTTGCATGGAGTCTCATTCTTTGATATTGAAAATTTGGCCCTTTAATAAATGCAGAAGCATTTAGTGGCTGAAGCACAGGTCTCTAACTGAGAACCTTCTGTATTCTGCTCCTGACTTTTTGCATGCTCTTGTACTTTTCATAGAGATGACTTTCCTGTTGTCTGAGTGTCCAATATACACAAAGTAATAACTGAGAGGTGTAGGAGTCACAAAAATCGAACAGTGAGTGGTTCCTGAGGGCTCAGACTCAATGCAATAGCAGAATAATAACACGACTATGACGTGCTATTTGTTTGGATCCAATGTCGAAGAAAATCTGAGCGAGGTTGTATGTGCAATTGTCACTTTTACACAAGATGGTTTCCATAGCTAGTAGCTTCAGAAATAACAGTGTAAATAAACTTTCAAATATAATTCACAGTGAAATTATGGTGAGAAATGCTCCTCCTACATCCAGTGGCTGAACTGAGTAATAGAAGCTCAATCTTCCTTTTTTCTCCCTCAGGCTTCCCTATTTACATACTGCCTTCGGTGTCAGCTCAAAAAGGATGTATCAGAAATAAAAGGTGTCCAGAAAAGAGCGACAAAAATTATTAGAGGTATGAAGAGACCTGCATATGAGAAGAGAGCAGAAAGATGAAGACTACCTGACTTAGAAGAAGTTGTACACAATAATGAAGGATTTAGATTAAATTAGACATTCCTGTTTCTCTCGTCTCATAAAGAAAGAGCGAGGGGACATCTAACGAAACTGAAAGACAACCCATCTGAGACAGAGAGAGGATGCATAAATAGTGCATAAGTCACCCGAAGAACCCTTATCAACACATATTATCAAGCTCAGGTAGGTGGTAAGATTCATAAAAAGGCTAAGACTGTAAGTGGAGAATGAGAACATCTAACGAGCCCTTAGCCCAAAAAGATGTGAAGGGACATAAATCCTCATGTTTCACGGGATAAATCAATTTCTAACAGGCTGGGGTTACAGAGAAACTTTCTCGTTGTGCAAAACATTCCATTCTTATCCACTACAAGGGTTCTTGTGTAACCACTACCAGGCGGATTCAAACCTAGGACCTCTGGAGCTTAATGTAGGAGCCTCTGCAGCTTGTACTATAAAAGCCAGCGGCTCGCAGCTTAGGCTGTAGAGCTCCCTTATTCTTAGCTCTCGCTGTACGTGCTCTAAGTGCCACTACCTGGGACAATGAACCACATCCACTGGGTTACACTTGTGTCTTCAAGGCACTGAGCAGAGACACAGCTTTACTACACTGTCTGATCTAGCAGAGTAAGTCCCATGCTCCTGCTTACTCTCCTCCATCACAAAATCTACCCTCCTGCGTGTATGGAAGGACTCTGGGGAAGCCTCACTATACTGCCTGTTATTCAGGGAAGCTGGCAAATCTGAGAAAAAAAAGACAACTAGTTTGCATTCCTCTCCCTCAGTTAATCCACGACCTGCCCCATATTCTCATCTGGGCACTCGACGTCCCTGCTCTTGGAAGGACTTAGGCACGCACTTAGCATTGCAGGCACGAGTCGTTTCCATCGTCAGTGGGATTATTCATGTTTGTACAGGTCAGCGCGCCTCTACATTTTTGCAGAATCAGGACCTAACTCCTGATATCGCTGCAGGTCTGATCCCACAAACACTAGCTACTCACACGAGAGCCCCCATTAACCCAGTCTGACTGCGCACATGAATGAACACCACTGGTGAGAGGAAGGCTTGTCAGGGCAGAACCTAGAACTGAACTTACTCCCAGGGACAAGTGAAATAACAGCAGCATCCAAAGTATCTGGAAAAAACGCTACAATCTAAATATGTACTGCCTTTCCCAGAGGAAACCCACACAGATTCACCTGCGGCTATTTGCTACCTTCCCCTCCCACCGACAGATCAAACAATTACCCCCCACCCTCTAAACCAGGCCTGCCCACATGTCACTGTCAGCAGAAGTGCACCAGGATTCTCTGACTAATTTCAGAGGCACAGCTAAGCCAGCTACTTATGTACAATGTGGTTCAGCCACAGAAGAAGTCAGCAGGAGGGAAATCAAACACAGTCTTAAATGTCTTGCAGACTTTTGGCTTTTCTTATTAATCTGATTAATGTTAACAGGCGTTTAAAGACCCGGGGCTTTATTTATTAACAATCTTCCTTTCCGCCGAGAGTGCCGAAGTGCAATCTCTCCTTAACAGGGGAGTCCTGACAACCCCATGAGCCGCACAAAGTGGGAGACGCAGGGAAGATCCGCCAGGGCTCAGCAGGCTTCAGTGGAAGTAAATCCAAATGCAGACGCAGATTTGTTGCTGCAGGGCAGGAATCGAGAGTTTCCACAGCGCCAGGCAGCGCGCTCTGCTCGTGCAATCAGATCACACATGTGGGGGAGACCAGATTTTGACAAGAGAAACCCTTTTCTGTGTTAATTACTCAGTGCTAGGATTCAACTTACGAACAGCAAAAGTATCTTGCACACAGAGGCTGGAATTAGCGGTTCGGGGAGGGGTGAGGGGGTTGTTGCACCCCCGGCTAGAAGTGGTTTCCATCCCACACAGGATCAGCACCTCCATGATACAAACTGTTCCAGCCCCCTGGTCCTGTTTTGAAATAGCACCTAGAACTTGACTCAGGCTGATTATGTTTCATGCCCTTCTGGGTCATGCTGCATCACCGTCCTCAGCTCACGTCACCGCAAAAAGATACACACAAATACCCAGAGAAACCCAGAGATGTGAGTTACTGGCAGAGTGACCGCCACGGCCTGTGCTATAAAGCTGCAAGGAACTTCCAAAGCCGGTGCGGGTGGCAGCGGGGGGCCTGTACAGCTAAGACACTCCCAAACAGTAGGGCTCGCTGGATAGCTGACTGGTCACAGGGCACTGGGCATCCTCCTCATTTCCAAATATTAAATTGCATAAAAAATCCTAGAATCACAGAATCCCAGGGCTGGCAGAGACCTCAGGAGTCATCGAGTCCAGCCCCCTGCCCAAAGCAGGACCAACCCCAACTAAATCAGCCCAGCCAGGGCTTTGTCAAGCCGGGACAAATACCTCTAGGGATGGAGATTCCACCCCTCCCTAGGGAACCCATCCCAGTGCTTCCCCACCTGCCTAGGGAAACAGTTTTTCCTAATATCCAACCTAGACCTCTCCCACGGCAACATGAGCCCATTGCTCCTTGTTCTGCCATCTCTCACCACTGAGAACAGCCTCTCTCCATCCTCTTTGGAACCTCCCTTCAGGAAGTTGAAGGCTGCTCTCAAATCCCCCCTCACTCTTCTCTCCTGCAGACAAGCCCAAATCCCTCAGCTTCTCCTCATAGGTCATGTGCTCCAGCCCCCTCATAATTCTGGCTGCCCTCTGCTGGACTGGTCCACATCCTTTCTGGATGCAATACTCCATATGTGGCCTCACAAGAGCCAAATAAAGGGGAATAATCACTTCTCTAGATCTGCTGGCAATGCTCCTCCTAATGCACACCCTGTTGACTCATCTCCACCTTCCCATCCACTGTAACCCCCAGGTCCTTTCCTGTAGAACTGCTGCTTAGCCAGTCGGTCCCCAGCCTGTAACAATGCTTGGGATTCTTCCATCCTAAAGGCAGGACTCTGCGCTTGTCCTTGTTGAGCCTCATCAGACAACTATAAACACATCAAATATTCGCCTACAAGAACTTTCCCATCTAAGCAATGGCTGTAGCTGCTGCAGGAAGGGTGGATGATCATGCATAGTAACAAAGAGGCAGAGACAAGTGCTATAGGAAGGCTGTGGTCCAGGCTATGAAGATGTTTGTGGACAGGCTGTGCATATTGCTTGTGGGGGGCTAGGCTAGGCCCAGCTATTTCAGGACCCCAGTACAGAAGAGATGATACAAGCCCCTAGCTGTGTTCCTGGTAAATGAAATACTCCATGACAGCCTGTCTCTCTTCTCCAGAGGTCTAGCAAGGGATGGAAGCATGTGCCTTACCATAGCCACTGGAGTTTAGTCCTACTGACTTCATGGCAGCATTCCTCAAAGAGGGCTTTGGGAAAGTCACTAGCGAGCCGCTCTGCTTTGTTTATCGAAAGGCACCACAGTCTTGTGGCTCCCATCCCGTTCGCCACTTCCAGCCAAGGGGAGCCGGGGGAAACTTGACGGGGACCATTTGTGCGTACAGTTAGGTACAAATCTCATTGCCCTGATGACTGAGGCCCAAGGCATGGGGCCCTTGGAAATAGAGTCTGCCTCTCTACCACGTTCCATTCCACATTTGTCTTTTAACAGTGAGGGCGATTCGTCATCGGAACAGAAGTTAGTGGTGGCTTCTCCAACACCCGAGGTCTTCAGATGAAGAGGTGATGCCTTTCTGGAAGAGGTCAGTCCAAACACGTTACGGGGCTCAATACAGGAGTCATCAAGGGAATTCTGTGGCTTTGTTTTACAGGGGTTAGAGTCAATGATCTAACGATCCCTTCTGGAATGAAAATCGAATGATCTTTCAATCTAAAGGAGGAGGGCGCTGCAGGTGCATTGACACAGAGAGCCCAGAAATGGCATAGCCAGGGCTGCTGCCGGGTAGAAATGGAGCATATTGGGACTTGGCAGGGGTAGGAAAGGCCTGCAATCACAAGGAGGCAGACAAGCAGGGCTGAGGGGCATGGCAGAGATGGACGTGGGGAAGCTCGCATGGAACCCGCCTGGCTCCCACGCAGCGAGTTCACTTGCAAATTTCAAAGGAGAAAATGGCAAATGTGCCTTGGATTTTGTATTTAATCCAGACCTTTCATGTACAAGATGATCTGGCAGCTGCCAAGGAAAAGAATAATTCATTGTCCTGATTTTAAATTTAAATGAAGAGGAGTTTATAAGATGTGTGTTTTATAAATGGGGAAGGCTTTAAAGCAAAGTTTAAAACATCCTAAAAGCTAAAATAGCTCATTCTCATCTGCAGCCATTCTAGTCTCTTGGGTAAACACTGTAGTAAGACAATTTTTAAAACTCTTATTATGTGGGCAATCGACCACAACGGCTCCATTTATCCATTAATTATGTAATCAGACATTTTTTCTTTAAAGTGGGTATTATTTATGCAGCAGAGCAGAACAAGTCCAGGAGTGTAATTATGGCTCATGGACACGTGCTCCACATTCCGATGCACACGTGGGGGGATGAGTTAGGGCCTGAGCCAGTGCCCGCTGAAGACGATGAAAAGATGCCCACGGACCGTAATTGTCTTTGGACAGGTCCCCAAAGAGCTTGTCCAGCAGGCAGGGTGGAAATTTCAGCAGCTTTGCCTTTTCGGTGTCTTTCAAAGCCTCTATAGGATTTTCTCCATCCAGTCCCAGGGGATTCTGGGAGAAATTGGAACTCTAGAAGTACCTCAAAATTGCAAACCTCCATCACAAAGGTTTGGCAAAATCCCTTCCCACAGGGAAGTGGCACATTCCATGCCATGTTTGCAGAAAGCTCCTTAATTGGCCTCGCCTTGCTTAGTTTCCATTTCAGTCACCCTCTCTGCCATGTGGCTTCCAGCCTTGCTCGGTGCTGGGAGAGCCAATGCGCTGCACCTCCCGAGTCCAAGGAAACCCTGGCTTTTTAACCTAGGCCCTGGTGAGCACGATTCAGTCTAAGGACCCAGGAGATATGGTCCTGCACACACCACTTCTTTTCAGAGACTTGCATTCAAATTCTGCTGATGCCAGCAATACCAGCGTAGGTCCTGCCACTCCATTCCAGCCAATAACACTGAGCAGCTTTGCCAAAGAAGGACATGGACTCAGAGAAGAGCAGGGAGCAAAATGTCAAGTCTCCATTCCTTCCATCGCTCCCAAAGCAGCCCACATGCTGGCACCAGCCTCGGTAGCTAAGTAAACAAAGTAATGACAAAATGTCCCTAACCAGAATGAGGGAACTAGTATAAAGTGCCTCTCTCAAATGCAAGGCCCCTTTTACACCCCCAGGCATAAGCACCCATCCCAATGTAATCTCTCTCTGCTTCCTGTTACACTGAATCTAACCTACAATGTCTTGGAGGGGGAGCTGTGTTAGTCTGTAACTTTAAAAACAACAAGCAATCCTGTGGCACCTTAGAGACAAAATATACAGCATCATGAGCTTTTGTGGGCAACACCTACTTCATCAGATGATGAGCATGATGTAGGCTCATTAGTGCCGGTTGTGTCTTTATTTGCCATGAATGGAGCCATATGCAAATACATTCATAATTAAACCGTCAGCATGTGCATGCTGTTTAAAAGGCAAAGAAGGGAGAACGGCCTAGTGGCTACTAGGGATGGAATAGTGCCCTCAACTAAACAATTAACCAATAAGCGGGTGCAGATCGGTTAACGTTATCAACTACACGCAACACTCCCCCTTTAGCGCCCTACAAGTGCATTTCTGAGCTGGCACGCGAGGGACCCAGCATCCATCCCCGCTGAGGCTCTGCACTAGCCGCAGGGGGATAGTTGCTGGACCCGGCAGAAGCCGGGATTAGTGGTAGCCCTTATCGACTAATCGTGTAGTTGACAAAACTTTTGTCCAAATCCTGCCCTTTTGTCGACTACACAATTAACGAATTACTTGTTTCTTAACATCCCTCGTGGCTACCGGGCAGGTCTAGTCAAAAGAAACTCAGATTCCATTTCTGGATTGGTCACAAACACCCTGGGGAAGTCACTTCTCCTTCTTGTGTTTCAGTTCCTTGGTATGGGAAGTAGAAGGATTGATCTGAATTCTGCTCTCCTACACGTGCGTGTGAGTATCTGAGGAAGGAATTTGCACCTGCCTGTGAAGTGCACTGGTCTCTTCACTACAAGGCACTACAGAGCTGCAAACTTAAGAGTCTCCAAAGGACACGCTGGCTGCTTCTGTTTATAAGATGTTCTGCACCTTCGCGATGTAGTAGTTACTAAAGTAATTAAATGCATCTTACTTAAAAGATTCCCAAAGGCAACTCTAATTCAAAGCCAGCCTCTTCTTTCACAATATTTTAGTTTTTTTAAATGAATATGCATATCAGGCATATAAACACTCCCGCTAATCCTCTAAAAGGAAAGAAAAATAGGTTGACAAACTGCACATGCTCTGAGCTCCTTGTTTATGGGGGAACCAGTAATCTACACTTCTGCAGCATGGGTATCAAAACAGCATTAAAAAACAGGCTAACGATTTCGATTTGGGAATTGGACACTCTGGCAGCAAAGATAATGTTTTTAAATACGTCAAGTGCAGTTCTGTGTTCCCTCCCAGAAAATTCATCCGCACAAAGCAGCTCTTTCCCGCAGGAAGCAGCACACCGCGTTAGCCAATTTCTTTGAGCAGACAATATGTTGTCATTCCATGTAGCATCATGCTTCAGACAGCGTAGTCCTGAATTTGTTCAGGCTAGGCAATGGAATTCAAGTGCTGACTTCTGGCCAGCCTGTGGTCCCTCGCTGCGATGAGATTTCAACTCCAGCGTCCTGGCTAAATTCCACCCTAGATAGTTCTATCTAAAACTCCTTGTTCTTTCATTCTGCAATGTACTCGGCTCCTTCTCCGCCTCCTACCCTTACACCGTTGTGCATATGGCTGCTAATGCCTTTGCTGTGATGCTGCATCTCAGGCGCCATTGTGTTTTGGTGGTGTGAAACTAGACACTCATATATAGCACATTAGAAGACAGACCCGGCATTGCCTGGGTCCTCCAGGGCAGGGGCTGGCCGTGTGTGTGTGTGAGCAAGAGTCAGGGCAGGGCCTTGTGGTTGGGGGGCAGAGTAGGAGGTGGGGAACATGGGGGATGTGGGAGTGAGGGTTGGGGGTGATGAAGGGCTCAGGACAGGGGCTCCCATCTGGCGTTGCAGCCAAGGGCAGGAGTGGGTGGGGGAAGGGGGCCACATACCTGGTCTGGTGGCAGGCAAGATAGCGGAGCTCCAGCCCAGCTGGCCACTCTTGTTGGTGTGGGTGCCCCCAGTGGCCACTCTCAGTATCATGGCGCTCCTCTCTCTGCCCCCTCCCTTTCAAATCCCTCTTCTCTCTGCCCCCTCCCTTTCCACGTCATGAAAACAGTCCCATTCCCAGCACTTCCTGTTTCCTTGACACAACCAAGCCCTGGCCTTGCTTTACACTAGGAGAAGAGGAAGCTGCCTACTGAATTTCGTGGTCCTAGCTCTTACCGTTTTGGAGTTCTTGAACAAAAAGACTTACAGAAGAACAGACAGACTAGGGTTGCCAGATGGTTTCAACAAAAATACGGGACACACTTGACATGACGTCACAATCGACATCCCATCTGATTTAGAAAATACCGGGCACTTATATTTTCTCATTGATATTTTCTCAATTTGTTTCCTGAACAGAAAGCTCAAATACTGGGCTGTCCGGTTCAAAACCTGGCAACCCTAAGACAGACATTTCTAAGATAGCTAGCTGGCTGGCTAGAATTCGCCTCTAAAACCATTATCTACCCTTGCTGATTTCCACTGCATATTTTGTCCTTGTTTTAATTGTGGAACTACTACTCACACTGAAGAAAGACAGAATACGCTACAATGAAAATAGAAGAGTGGTTTGCCCACAGCTCCTATTTCTACAAGCTTGTCTAGACTAGGAAAGGAGGCCAGCTAACACACTGTAGGGGGAAAACCAAGCGGGAACTACATTAGCTAAATCCATACAGAAGGTGTTTCCCTTGGGAAGGAAGAGGTCCGGAGCGGGTTTGCTAAGCCTGACCCGACCACTTTTCTGTTCTAACAGCTCCCCTGAGCCTGGCAAGATGTTTGCTGGCTCCGGATGGTGAGTTTGACTCTGGATCTCAAGACCAGACTACAAGATCACACCCCAGCTCCAGACACCAGAGGTGCGGGGAGGCTCGATTTACAAAAAACCTGCAGCGCTGCCAACCATTCTTGAGTGACTTTGGTCCATCTCCTCAGATTGGCTCCTCCAGCATGTCTCAGTCGAGAGCTACTGGTCCTTTCAAACAGCGTCTATGATATTATATTCCCGCATCTCTGGCAAACCCAAAGCTGCAACCTACTGCTCGCACCCCAACCAAGGAACAGCTATTTCAATGGCACATGATTTGGGGGACCCTCTGGTAACCGCAATCTCTGGTGTAGACTCTTTCTGCTAAGGTTTGCCTCTACAGAACAAGCCATTACAATAATCAACCAGGGAGGGAAATCGTCTTCTGAACAGCTTTGAAGCCAAATTTTCCCAGCAGGCTTTTTCTGTATTGGAGTTTACATGTAAACACATCACTATAGCTGAACTGTGTAAAGATGATTTACTTTAGGGGGGGGGGGGGAGATGGGGAGAAGAAAATATCTCCCCAATTACCACCACCCCTCCTCTCGATTTGTAACTGCTCCTAATAAACTTTCATGGTCTATGGAAAATGCTCTAGCGCAGTGACAAATTTCTGCTGGAATTTGAGATGTCTTGTTCAGAGTAATCGCTTTCTCACACAGGTGCCCAGCTGCTATTGTAAAATCAGTAAGCATTTAATTGAAACAAATGACTATAATAATGGTACATTATCCCTGCAGGCTCATAGCCATAACAGTTTTAATTATTGAGTTAAGAGTCAAACTAATTTATCCTTTAAAGTAACAGCCACATCGTTGGTTCCACTGATCATCCTACTATAGATATGAGGGGGGCGGCAGGGAAAGATTTAAAACGGAAGCAACTAATTTGGCTAGGGGCTGCATTTATCAGGTGGTAGGAGTCTCCTAGTCCAGTGGGTCCCAACTGGGGATGTCAAAAGTTGTTTGTCAATGAACTGGGTAACCGCTAAAAACACTCGCTGTTAAAAGTGCTGGCAGCTCTGCAGCTTAAAGCTTATATATAAAATCCAGGTCCCCGGCAAGACTGGTTACCACCTGCTGCCCCATGCTGCTGCCTCTTATGCAGAGGCAGCAGTGCGGAGCGGCAGCAGCCCCTGTCTGTGGGGACCCGAGCTCCCTGCAGACAGAAGCTTTGCCAGCATTCATAGAGCAGCCTCTGTCCACGGTGAGTCCAGGCCCGCCACGGACAGATGCTGCTCCGCAGCAGGCTCCCCCACCCCTGCCGCCCCATGAGGCAGCAGCATGGGGGGAGGGGGGCGGTAGAGCCAGTGCTTGTGGGGAGCTGACTCTTAAGTCTGCTCTGCCTTCCCTTCCCTGCCTCTGTGGGAGACAGCAAGGAGGGAGCCGGTGGCTCCACGGAACCGGCCCGCGCAGAGAGCCGGCTTAAGAGCTGGCGCCCCATGTGTATCATTTCCCACCTGTCCCTCCTCACCCCCCACGTTGCAGAGGCAGCAGAGCGGGGGTTGGGGGGGCAGGTGGCTCCACGGATTCAGGGCTCATGGGGAACTGGCTTAAAAGCTGGCTCCGCATGGGCACCGGCTCCCCATCCCCTTGCTGCCTCTGATGCAGAGGCAGCAAGGTGTGAGTGTGGGGTGGGGGAGTGCTTGGGGTCAACAGGATTATCAAGAAGCCCTGGCTTACTGATTAATCGTGTAGTCGTCTGATCGTTGACATCGCTAATGCCTAGAGCCCAACCATTGGCCTGTCTGCCAGTTTTGCTGCCTCACAGAACAGGCTTCCCCTTGCTGCCATAGGGACCAATCTTGGCAGGTGCTGAGCATCTCTGGTGAGTGGCTGAGTGCCCTCAGCACTTGCTGATTTCCAGGGAAGCTGAGCTGCCCTGCACCAGGCTCTGAAGAATCAGCCTTGTGGCTGGGTGCAAGTGATCTGCCGCGACAATCTCTCAGTCCCTGGTATGTTATCTAGCCCTTAGTGCAGTTTGTGCTGCTCCAAAGCTCAGTCTGGGACGTACTACACCAGGTGCCTTGCTAGCTGACAACACACAACACAACAGACACCAGCTGGCAGCAGTATCTGAGTCGTCTGTCTTCCCTGCCAGCCTAGTATCACCATTGTTGGGGGGGGGCAAAAGTTTGGGGCAGGAGGGCTACTTCCCCGGTCTGGTGGCAGGCAAGATGGCGGAGTCCCAGCCCTGCTGGCCACTCTCTTGGTGGCGTGGGTGCGGGAGGCACGTGTTTGTCTCAAACTAGCTACAGACATAAAGGGAAACAAGACGATTTTCTATAAATATATTAGAAGCAATTAGGACAGGGTAGGCCCACTGTTCAGTGAGGAGGTAGAAACAGTAACAGGAAATTTGGAAATGGCGGAGGTGCTTAACGACTTCGTTTCAGACTCCACCGAGAAGTCTGATGATGAAGGAACACAGTGAATGCTAGTGGGAAGGGGGTAGGTTTAGAAGATACAATAAAAAAAGAACAAGTTACAAATCACTTAGAAAAGTGAGATGTCTGCAAGCCACCGGGGCCTGATGAAATGCATCCTAGAATACTCAGGGAGCTGATAGAGGAGGTATCTGAGCCTCTAGCTATCATCTTTGGAAAATCATGGAAGACAGGAGAGATTCCAGAAGACTGGAAAAGGGCAAATCTAGTGCCCATCTATAAAAAGGGAAATAAGAACAACCCAGGAAACTACAGACCAGTCAGTTTAACTTCTGTGCTAGGGAAGATAATGGAGCAAGTAATTAAGGAAATCATCTGTAAACACTTGGAAGGTGGCAAGGTGATAGGGAAGAGCCAGCATGTAAAGAACAAATCCTGTCAAACCAATCTGATAGCTTTCTTTGATAGGATAACGAATCTTGTGGATAAGGAGAAGCGGTGGACGTGATATACTTAGACTTTAGTAAGACATTTCACACGGTCTTGCATGACCTTCTTATCAATAAACTAGGGAAAAACAACCTAGATGGAGCTATACTATAAGGTGGGTGCATAATTGGCTGGATAACCGTTCTCAGAGAGTAATTATTAATGGTTCACAATCCTGCTGGAAGGGCATAACAAGTGGGGTTCCGCACGGGTCTGTTTTGAGGCTGGTTCTGTGAATATCTTCTCAACGATTTAGGTATTGGCATAGAGTGTACGCTTATTAAGTCTGCGGATTATACGAAGCTGGGAGGGGTGGCAAGTGCTTTGGAGGTTATGGTCATAATTCAA